TCCCCCCCGGATCCTTTGATCTGGGAATTACGACACCGCCCGCGGTGTCGGCCGCTTCGGCCCACGGTGTCGGCGTTGTGTCGGCCATCGGATCAGGCGTCCGCGGCGTTGGATGCGCCCAAGGGCATGGAAATCCTCCGCGCCATGGTGGGGGGCGGCATGGGTGAAGTTCGGGGTGGGACCGGGGGGGGGGGGTGGGGGGTTTGGGGGTTTGGGTGGGGGGGGGGGGGGGGAGTCTGTTCCTTTTTGGGTGGAAGAGGGCTTGTAGTGGTGGGTGGGTGGTTCAAGAGATGTCGAGTTCCTCGTCGAAAAGGACCAAGAGATGCCTGGTGCGTACTGGGTATGGAAGCTTCGAAGGGGTCTTGATTCTCATAGAACAGCATCCCATTTTGGAGGGCCGGAGGCACCGTTCTTCCCCCTCTGACGTCTCGATCGGATCGATCTCTGGATCGAGTTGAACAGGGGAACAAGTTGAAACGCCCCCTTCTTCGGTTGAAACCAGCAGTTCATGCACCTCGGATGGGCAGAAGGTGCTTTCAGACCTACCGACCTGGCCGACCTACCGCGTCGAGTCGAGCTCGTCCGTGCTGCCAGGGCGAACATCCGGAGGAGTCTCTCCTGTTGGAGCAGTTGCCGGGGGGCCCCAAGAAGGAATGGAACGATGGGATACGATGGGGGGGGGGGCAGGGACTTGCCTGCCAGACTGCCCGCAGACTGCCAGGACGTTAGGGAGCGAATTGCCGGATTAGATTCATGAGTTGAGGGCATCGTTTTGATCCGATTTCGTCGATGTTCGGACTGGTTGATACTGGTTGGGATGTCCCGGAACCGGTGGCAGGGGTCCTCCATTGCGGAAGGGGCAAGACTCATCCAAGAATATCTCACCCCCATTCTGTGCGGGGGTCCATCCTCCGCACTAGTACAAGAGATTTAGGATAGTTTGGGGCGGTTTGGGACACTTCCAGGAGGATTCTATATGTATACATATCCAGTCCAAGATAAAGAAATAGAGAGACAGAACAACTATATACAGAAGATACAGATCTGCAGATTCCCATCTAAGACCACCTCTTGCACCCAGATTGCCCGCGATGAAAACAATCCTTCGGACAATTCCTTTTGAGATCCAAAGGAATGATTGAATGATCCACCAAATTTGACTGCAAAAACAGAGGTGATCTATTACAAGTGCTCCCTTTCTGTGAAGGTGGATCCTTTTCTCTTGAATCCTTTCGCTTGACCAGTTGTGGATCTCTCTCACCCCCCACTGGTCGTCGTGAACGTAAACCGGTGGACGGAGTTCGATCTGCCAGGTGGGCGCAATCACATGGCCAGACCCGACAGCAGGGGGAGCACAGAATCATGAGCACGGACTGCATGTGCTGTTTCTTTTGTTTTTCTTTTTTTGGGGGGGCTTCAGTAGTGGATGAGAAAGCATATCGAATCTCACGGTTTTTGGCTTGGGATGGTGGATTTCGAACCAGCTGCCGGGGGATGTCAGCATGTCTTTTGGAAGGTTTTTTTCTCCCAGAATCGCCCAGAATCGGGAAACGTGGGAAAATTATCGGGCGGCGCGGCGCGGCGCTGAGCGCGAGGTTTCTGAAGCGCGTGCAGCGGCAGAGGTGGGAATGCCCAGCAGGGAGAAGGTGGTAGTCAAGAGTTCATGTTCATAAGTAGATCGGGTAAGCCTAACTTCATCCGGACGGACGGGAAAAAAGTGTCTATTCAAGTCTTTTTTGAACTGAGATGAAACCAACTGCTTAGGTGGCTGAGCATGCCCAACCTGCAAGTGGTCAAATGTGGCATCTCAAAAACGGGTGCTTGGCTTTTGCGAAGTTGCCTTTTGCAGAGATGCCA